TCATTTCATTAAATTGCTCATAGTTCTAGTCCATGTGTTGTATAAATACAGAAAGTGCTTTAATTATTCTCCAAATACTGTCTTCAAATAATGAATACTGATAAAAATTATACACAAAACATCAGTAAACACCAAACCGTCAAACAGATCCAAACTAATTTTTTTATGCCATTATTAAACTTAGATCTAATGAGCTGCATTACTCATTATTAAAATTCAATCTAAATAATGAATAACCTACATTGTCTATCCATCTTCCAACCACTTATCCACACAAAAAGCAGGAGTAGGGCCATTGACAGGATGCTACTCCATCACTGGACATATGCACGCTAAACACAAATTAGGAACACCGTGGGTGAATCTCAATATGCGTGCTTGACCGTTCTTGTGTTCTCATGTCCCCGTTTTACGTCACCTTCCAATGCCGAAGACCAGGTCCAATACTCAAGATCAGAAGTACAGAGGACAGTAAAAATCCCCAGATGTTGATCTTGCTCTGCCCCAAATATCAAGGATACATCGACTGCATCTTCGCCAAAAGAGACCAATCCCATGATTCATTGCGGCCCAAGTTTTTTCTTGGACGGCAAGTTTGCAAGACCGGTCTTGCCAAGACCACAGGTGCAATCTTTGTGTTCTTGGTGTTGGTGGTGAGAAACACCCCATGTCTTTGGACAACAGGAAGAAGTCTGCACTACACAGAGAGAACATGAAAACTCAGAAAGCACAGAACAGGGGCAGCATTCAAATTCCAGTTACATTCAGGGGCCCAGCATGTACGTACATGCACACACACACACACACACACACACACACACACACACACACACAATCTGAGAACATGTACCTCTATCGTACCTCCATTCTGTAAATTCTACCATGGGGGACCCGTATTTCTTCCGATTGATAGTGGGAACCCTAGTGGGGGGGTCCAAGGTGATATTTTGTCAGGGGGCCCAGAATTTTTAGCTACATCTCTGCACAAGTGGTAAGAATATTTCCCATCAGTGCAATTAGAGCTCTATGTGAAGAGGCATGATGTGTAAAGTCCTTCAAACTGTGCTTGTTTGAGAAAGCCTCCTTGCCGATTTTACACATATACTTTACAAGGAAGTACCTAGTCAGGCGTATTTCCTTGTTGTCTGCTTCCTGAACCCAGAAGCCACTTTCTAGCAAAGGGCGGGTCGGCAACCTATCTGTGCAGTTCCAGAAAATATTCTTGCTATAACTTGGAATAGAAAATTCAGCTGATTATGACCTCATGAAGGAGATAAAAATGATACGATCCACACACTATTCATTTAGCTGTAAATCTTATCAGGGCTTAACTATTGGCTAACATAGATGTCACTGACCTGACATGATTTTAACAGTCAATGAAGCTGAACACCTAGATTGCCATGACAACAGACTTAACAAATACATAAATACTTAAATAAAAGGAAACTATGCTTTTTGGCAGCTATTATAACCAGTGCTTGGAGTGGGAAAAAGAAATGGTGCCAGTACTTTCCTTGCTATTCCATACTGGTAGATTATGAGAGATACCAGTATACAAGAAACATTCACAGTATTCTGAAGAGAAAAACAAAGAGAGACTGGTACTATATATTAGCAAGTACCGACCTACTTGAAGCACAGATTATAATATTGCAGCAAATATATTTAGAGCAAGCAAACAAGCCCATTTAGGGAAATTACACTGCTTCTAATTTTATATTATAGAAAACTGTTTGAACTTGTTTCACATTAAAATTGGTAGCAAGGCTTCCATCCATTTCTGCCTAATTTAGACCTCATGACGTTTGATTTCAAAATGTTCCTGATGCATCATCCCATGCCCTTTAACTCTTCTGTCCTGAGTTAATAATTCCTCTGAACCTGCTGTTGTGATAATAAGCAGAGAAAAAGGCTTTGCTGTGTGCTCGGGTTTTCATGCCCCTGCTGATGTTCTCCTGTCACAGATGGGCTTTAGGTGTAGCTTGCTTTCCATAAGATGGATTCAGAAAAGAAGTCATAACTACCCATTCACCAGAGGTGCAGGAGGGAACATACCATGTCCTGGATGAACACACAAGGCAGAGGGGACAAGGCTGAGCCGGCCACAAATTCACAGCAGAAAAGGAATTAAAACCTCTAATCCCATTCCAATCCCATGCAAAATGCTTGTCCTATATCACATTATGTCACTTGACATGAATCTTTCTGTAATAATTTAACTGCTAGAAAACATTATTTGGTAAAAATATCTAAATAAACAAAGCCATAGTAGGTCACATGATTCCTGGTGTCATTTGAATACATTAGATATGCAACCAAATACAATATACTTGTGTGACTGACTTAATTTATATATAAGTGAACCGGGGATAAGAAACAAAAGTGTCCTGCATATGCACATGTAAAGGCAGGATTACCCAGAACTTTCTGTACTTTTATCTCATACTGACCGTTTCATCTCAAAATCTCAATGCTCAAATATACATTATAAAATGTGATTTCAGCTTCAGAGATGCCAGTCTGCCACAGGGCACAAACATACACACACCGTGGGCAGTTTATAGATGCCTTTTCATCTTACTGTACGTCTTTGACCTGTGGGAGGCAGTACATATTCCATGTGGAGAACATGCAACCTTCAAACAGAAAATTCCACATGACACAGGGAGAACATGCACTCTTCACACACAGGAAAGTCCACATGACAGGGGGAGAACGTGCACCCTTCAAACACAGAAAAGTCCATGACACAAGGAGAACATGTGTACTTCATACATAGGAAAGTCCACCTGACATGGAGAGACCATAATACTTCATACATAGAAAAGTCCACATGACACAGGGGAGAACATGCACCCTTCATACACAGAAAAGTCCACATGACACGGGAAGAACATGCATACTTCATACACAGAAAAGTCCAAATGACAGGGGGAGAACATGGAACCTTCAAACAGAAAATTCCACATGACACAGGGAGAACATGCACCCTTCACACACAGGAAAGTCCACATGACAGGGGGAGAACGTGCAACCTTCAAACACAGAAAAGTCCACAACACAGGGAGAACATGCATACTTCAGAAACAGAAAAGTCCACGACACAAGGAGAACATGTTTACTTCATACATAGAAAAGTCCACATGACACGGGAAGAACATGCATACTTCATACACAGAAAAGTCCAAATGACACAGGGAGAACATGCACCCTTCATACACAGAAAAGTCCACCTGACATGGGGGAGAACATGCATACTTCATACATAGAAAAGTCCACGTGACATGGAGAGACCATAATACTTCATACATAGAAAAGTCCACGTGACATGGAGAGACCATAATACTTCATACATAGAAAAGTCCACATGACACAGGGGACAACATAATACTTCATATACAGAAGAGGATTAGGATTCAAACTCTACCTACTGAGCAACGTTGTCACTATTATTCAATATCTAAACAATCAAATGGCAAATGATCCAATTAAGCAAATCTCTTAACTACCAGACAAAACAACCTGTAAAATTAACAAACAAATACATGACTAAGTCTTCTTTTAGCAGTCCCTCAGCACTGGTTATTATCCCCCTTAATTAGGAGACTGCTAATCCCTGGAGTGACCTTACCTTAATCCAGCTGTTCCATCATCAGACAGCATCATGGGATTCGATCCCTATCACTTACCCCCTTTGAATTCGATATACTTTTAGCCACCAGGCCCGTCCTAGATTCTGCTGAGTGGTTAACAGCAAATAAAAATAAGCTCACAAATATGGCAAACCGTACAGGAAGCTCAAATTGTCATAACGGTACACATTCAGAAAAAATACAACATATACAAATATCTCAAAAGCACTGTGGGTTATGCACACGTCACAGCATAGTATAATCAAAGACGTGAGATGTTGACAATTCTTTGGAAATTATAGTGCTGTTTGGTCAATAAGTTTTTCAAGAGGATCTTAAATTCAGTTCTAAACAGGGGTTCAGATTAGATTAGATTAGATTAGATTAGATTTGATTAGACAGACTTTATTGATCTTGGAAAGGAAATTCTTGTAAATACAGCAGCAAGGTATGTGGAGCACAGACAAACATACATACAGTGCCAAACAGACAAAGTGCAAAGACAGTACAGACAGTGCAAACAAGCAAAGGGAGTGGAAACAAATTAAAAACTACAGAGAACACAAACAGAATTTGGAAAAACAGAACATTGTGGAATGTATGAATGAATGAATGAACAAACAAACAAACAAATATGTAAATAACTAATTATATGGATATACAAGAGACAGACAAATAAGTAAACAAATAAAGAAATAAATCACTGGATGGTATATGTGCAATTGAAAAACAGACAGCACCCGACTTTCACAGTTGCAAAGATGGAATGTTTTCTGACGTGTTCTGGCTGGGGGTGAGGGATGACACTACCACACACCCTGGAATGCACCCTGGAGAAAATTGCTGGGGGTTAAAAATGCTCCAAGATAGCACTCCCTGGTACGGCAATGATTCTTACTCTTTGAATAATAAATGAAAAAATGCAGGAAAGGTTTGGAAGCTTTTTGGACTGTGATTGATACATGCGTTTAACTTTTAGTTAAGGTCTAATGAGCTTTAAAATGATGAATGGCGAGGGAATGGACTAGATACATTATGATATCTTTAAAGGTGTGGAAAATAACTTTGTAATATATAAGGATAGTAGCAATGAACTCCAGTCGTCATGGATACGCTTGGCTTGTAACTATGTTGTGCTGATCTATAAGAACCATAAAGCAGATTCCTCCCTTCACTTTTAATGCACATTATATAACCAGGCATGCCAATGCCGCTCAGGATTTTCAAAAGAGCCCCATGGGGGGGGATGGATCCATGTAGGGCCCAACACCAACTCTGCCCCCCTAGGATTCTCTGGAGGGGGTGTGGAATATGTTTGGTCATCAGAGTTCAAAAAGTCTTTCCTTAAACACCGGCTCGCTTCATTCCTATTTACAATAACTGCAAAGAGATTAATAGTTAATCTGGGCAATAGACACACTCCAAGTCGATAACATCAAAAATAGACTAAGCAGAGAGATATGCTGAAACATGCCCATCCCACGATGAGTCTAACTCAATAACGCTGCGCTTACAAGAACACACACAGACAAATTAAAGTCCTACATGAATAGGGCAAGACGGAATGACGTTAATCATTAAATTGCTTGATAACAAAAAGAGCCCGCAGTAGTCAGTAGTCCATCCCGCGATCACTTACAGTAAGCTGCAACCAGCGATCACCTTTGTTCCTTCTCAGCCTCTTTGGGAAAAGACACTGGCAAGACAGAAGAGCATTTGGGAAAAAAAGGCTGTCTACGAACTTTAGGGAAACATGCATATAGACAGGAACCTGAAGAATGTCCTGGTTGTCTCGTTTGGATTTCTGTTCCTTTTCACGGCATATGGGGGACTGCAGAGCTTACAGGTAGGTCATACTGTACTTCAAATGATTCTTTATATTTATTCAAACCCATGAATTTAAATTCTTAAAGTTTCAACAGTTTATATTTATTTATGAGAAATTATTTTAAGCAGTGCTATTCACAAATTAGTGATTATATGGCATTCTTATTTAGCAAAATTAATGTTCCCCACAATGTCTATCGAGCCCTCAGGGTATTCTGAGCATTATAATATTTTTACAGAAACTTCTATGTGTATTTTTGCTTGACATAGGTCAGTCCTTGCACTAGTTCTGCAGCAGTTGTACTGACTAATGTTTTAACAGCAGGCTTTTACAGTAGCACAATATGGTGGTTCATTTAGGTCGCACTGATACCTCACACTTTCAGGGTTGGGGACTTGCATCCTGCCACCACTCAGTTTGTGTGGAATTTGCATGTTCTTACTGCATTGCATGGGTTTCCTCAGGGTTCTCCAGTTTCCTCCTGAAGTCCAAAGTCATGCAATCAAACTGCCATCACTAAATTGTTCTTAGATTGTGGGTGTGCTCTGCAATGATCCGGCCTCCCAAGCTGGGTGTACCCCAGCCTTGTGTCCTGTTCCAGGCTGCCCGTTAAAGAGGATAAGGAGATGGATGAATTGTTTTACAGTGACCAAAATTAAATGCTTAAAACAAACCCAAACTCAGTGTGATCTGGTGTCACATTTCAGAGCAGCCTGAATGCACAAGACGGAATGGGCGTGGCCTCCTTGAGTGTCATCTACGCTTCCATCATTTTGTCCTCCATGTTCTTGCCACCCATCCTCATCAAGAACTTGGGTTGCAAGTGGACCATTGTGGGTTCGATGGGCTGCTATGTGGCCTATTCATTGGGCAACTTCTTCCCTGGCTGGTATATCTATAATCTACCAACTATACTTTCTTCTATAAGTATACATTGAACTCAGGGGTGCCATGAAGAGGTGGGATGATTTCAAGGGCCCCTGATTAACTGGGGCCCTAAAAAATGGGTAACATAATTGGATTGGTTTGAGTTGGGGACCCAATATTTCATGTTCACTGTTGGCTTTGATGTCAGTCTTAATTCCATTATAAATCTTTTCCCCGAGAAGATTCTTTCCAACTTGGTCCTGTCTTAGCATGTACTATAACCAGGGATTGACATAACTGGTACGCAAGTACGCATTCACCCGTAAAATCGATACCTGCGGCAATCGACTGTTTGTAAAAGTGCAAATGTGTGCTTATTTTATTTGCATTTGCGCTGGTATGAAAACAAAATATAATGCATTTTAATCTTTATATGCTAACATGACTTCATTTTCGGTATACTAGTTAAAATGCAAGGTATTTTCTTGTCATAGCACTGCAAATTCACATAAAATAAGTACGCATTTGCGCTTTTACGAACAATTGATTGTCGCACGTATCGTTTTTAAAGGTGGATGCGTACTTGCTTACCAGTTATGTGCAGCCCTGACTGTAACCATGTTTTGTAATTAATATCAAAGATAAATAAACAGAAACATCCTTTGGCATGACATTAGCTTGTCAGACTACGCAGATGAAAATGTGAAAGTACCAGATTGACCGATGTTAGCTGAGATATGGTGGACGTCAAAAGGAAAGCCAACCCTAGGGTGATAACTCTCCACCGTGCCGGTCCTGGCAGGCCTGCGCTGATGGCCACCTCCGTGATTCTTGGTCTGGGAGGCTCACCGCTCTGGTCTGCCAAGTGCACCTACCTCACAACCTGCGGAAACCAGCAGGCAGCAAGAGATGGGAAGAAAGGGCCGGACGTCATCAACCACTACTTCGGGATCTTCTTCCTGATATTCCAGTCGTCAGCCGTCTGGGGGAACCTCATGTCCTCACTAATATTCGGTCAAGACGCATCAATCGGTAAAGAAAAAGTGAATTTTTATTCTTTCCCACAGAGTTGTGTACTGTCATTCAGTAGTGATACTTGATTTTAGAATTTACGTTTTTTTCAGAGGGCAGTAGGGTGACACAGTGGTTAGGACTGTCGGCTAACGGCTCTGGTCTGGCTCCATGTGTGTGGAGTTCACATGTTCTCCCCATGTTGTCATGAGGTTTCCTCTGGGTTCTCCAGTTTTCCCCCACAGTCCAATAACATGCTGAGCCCAGTTGAGGTTACCAAATTGCCCATAGGGGTGCGTGTGTGAGTGACTGGTGTGTGAGTGAATGGTGTGTGAGTGACTGGTGTGTGAGTGTACCTTGCGATGGGTTGGCGCCCCATCCTGGGTTGTTCCCTGCCTTGCACCCGTAGCCTCCAGGATAGGCTCCGGACCCCCCAGAACAGGACAAGCAGGTATAGAAAATGGATGGATGGATTTTTTAGCAGATGCTTTTATCCAAATTTACGTTTAGTGAGAGAGCTGTCAGGAACTGTATTCTTTATGAGGTAGGATAGGGTTTTCATGTCCATGTAGAACGTTTTTCTGGCTATCACGGTATGCTTTTGATTAAAGACAATTTGAAATGAAACTAATTAAATAATTCAAATCACCAAAAAAAAAAAAAAAACACTAAAATAAAAGTACTATTACTTCGATTAAATTTTACTTAAGTACAAGTAAAATTACTGGTCTAAAAATCTACTCCGGTAAAAGTAAAAAAATAGTTCATTTAAAATTTACTCAGAGTAAAAGTTACTTAGTTACTTTTTAAAGTGTTTTTTAATTTACATTTGACATTATATATATGATTTACATTATAGCGAAGTACAATACACCAAACGAAACATACTTAAGTAAAATTACAGATTTTAAAACCACTTAATTAAAGTAATGCGAGTAAATGTAATTCGTTACTATCCACCACTGTGAATCACTTTACCTGATATTGTATGAGTACATAAACACATTAATGAGAATGCAAGATTCCAGTTCCTAGAAAACATCATTTGGTACACAAACAAACAAACGCATGATTTATGGGTCAAACTAAATTGACAGAACAGTGTGCTCATTGCTTTTATCAGCAGTACAACAGCTAAGACCCTCTTGGAATAGTATTATTCATAAGTGCATCTTCTGATCTTCTTATGTTGATGGACACATAGCTTTACCGTTAAGTAACCAAAGGTGTCTTCCTAACTCTATTGATCCAAGCTGACATCCCAGATGACAGGCTGCAATCCTGTGGCACTGGCGTCTGTCTGGACAACTCCACCACTTCAGGCAACATAACAACCCCAGAGCAATCCCTGGTCAACATCCTACTTGGCTGTTACATAGGTAAACATCAGCATGTCTCATCGCAATCATTTGACTTTAATGTGTACTGCTTCTCTTCTAAAATTGTTTAAGATAAATTGTACGTGCATGCTAAAGTGTCCCGCAGAACGGTCTCACGGGTAGAGCTGCGATGTCAGGTGCCGTCTGTGTCGTCCTCTCCAGGGGTTGGAATTTTTGCCATAATCTTGGTGGCGGTTTTTCTGGACAACATCGACAGGGACAAAGCTCAGCAGTTCAGGGACAAGCGGGAGCCCTTCTGTAGCACCTTCTTCGCGACGTTCAAACACCTCAGAGACAGGAGACAGCTGCTCCTTATCCCGCTGACCATGTACAGTGGGTTCGAGCAGAGCTTCCTGGCCGGAGAATACACCAGGGTGAGGGAAGCTCGCATCGCCAAGGCGCTGCCATCGCAAAACGTTCGCCGACGTTATTTTCTTTTTTTCTGCTATTGCCTAGTTTCAAGAGGCCGGTCATTGAGGAAAAACAGGGCCGGATCCAGGCACAGGCAAACTAGGCGACTGTCTTCGGTCTGATCAGCACAAGATGGCCCAATAAAGTCATGGAAATATATGTATTCATATATATAAGTTATGCTATGCTATGCTAGTAACAGGCTAATGTCTGGTCATCTCCTACATGACATGCTCATATGAGTAGGGAGTATATTGATGGGGCAGGGGGTGCAAAAAATATCCCTGCCCAGTGTACTGTGAAGGCTTAATCTGGCCCTGGAGAAATGAGGCCCTTATACCTACCAGTGCTGTCAGTTGTGACCTGGTTTGTCACAGTAATAAGCAATAAATTACCCAGTGAGAAGTGAATGACATGGCATTGATCCACTGGTTTTCAGAGCCAAATTGCTCTCATGTAGTTTATCTGTCCCAGACAAGCACTTCCTGCCTTTCATTGACATTCTGGTATTTACCTGACAGCTTACAGAAGGTGGCACACATTACGTGTGCCCGCTTAAATGGATTTTGACTCTGATGCCTTTTTCTAACAACAGCGGCCTGTGTGATTTTTTTTGCTCCCTCCGCAGTATTACGTCACCTGCGCCCTGGGAATACATTTCGTTGGCTACGTGATGATCTGCTTTGGTGCCACCAATTCTGTATCCTCCTTCACTGTTGGCAAGTTGTCCCAGTACACAGGAAGATTCGCCCTGTTCACCTTCGGTAAGGAGCATTCAAAAGAGATAGCTTTAAAGCGAGGGTCATGTGACCAGCGATCGCGTGATGAAACTTACACTTTGACCAATATAAAAATAAGCTACCATGTCTAGTTGGCATCAGTCTCCTATTTCTCTCTTCGATTACAGCCGCGGTAATAAACTTCGCCGGTGCCCTGACCTTCTTGCTCTGGAAGCCTCATCCCGATGAGTTACCTGTCTTTTTTGTGCTTCCCGCCCTCTGGGGGTTGGCTGACGCCATTTGGCAGACGCAAACCAACGGCAAGTTCCGATTTTCTTATTCACTTTATGTTGTCCAGCACGCTTGGATATTACCTACGATGCAGATGTGACACTTTGTAATTCTGTTTTTTTTGTGCTTGTTCGTTTTTGAATGACTAAACATTTAACGTTTTTCGCTATTTTGGTCATGTATGTGCCGCCAGATTAGGGCACCTGCTGAGTGGGTGAAATTAGATATTTCATGATATGCAAGTAAGACGTTTTTATTTCCGTTTCAGCTCTCTATGGCGTTCTCTTTCCTGACCACAAGGAGGCAGCGTTTGCCAACTATCGCATGTGGGAGTCCGTCGGATTTGTCATTGCCTTCGCGTACAGTAACTTTATCTGCCTTGACATTAAGCTCTACATTTTGATAGCGGTTCTGATACTTTCCATGCTACTCTGTGGTTGGGTGGAATACATGGAACACAGGAATCCTACTCTAAGCGTAGAGTACAGTGGAGACACAGATAAATGGACAGAAAAAGAACTGCATTCTGACGGTCCACAGACAACGATCCTTGCGCAAACTCCGCTGTAAATGAGTTTCATGCCCACCGTTCGAATAATTTTTGAGCCCTCTCCAATTAACTAAAGAGTCTCAAAGGCTTGCTTGTAACAATTTCTTTTATATAGTTGAAACGTTTAAACTTTAATTCAAACAATGTGTTTCCCTTGCAGAAAGCATTTTTAACATTTTCTCGTCTTCCTTCACTATGGCAGCAAAAATGGACAGCGTACGAAGTAATTAAGGCTAAACATACATTAATGCTAATTAAATATGAAAGGCTTAAAATGTAACTATTGTGCACAGTTCAGTATGCATCACTGGACATCTATAACTGCAGTGGGTAGTATTGGGTTGGTGACGGCTGTAATCGTAAGATCTCTCTTTGGAAAAAAGTACATGCACTGTAACGTGGGAACACAGCGGTAAAGCAATATAGTATTTCCACAATGCAATTAAATTTTTATATAAAATAATGCGCAAAGGCTAACAAACTTTAGACATTTAGTTGTGCTACAAGAAGTAGGACTGCTTAAACTTAGATATTCATTGAATGTACAGCTAATCGAAATCGGTGATTTCATGGTATTTTGTTTACAGCCAGAGTCTGGATTTACATATGAAGTGAAACGTGAATTGTGTTATACAATGAAATACTGCGGGGTGGTCTTTTGTATGTTCTCTGCAAACTTGGGCCTTCGAATGGGGCTTACTGGTTTAAATCAGAATCTGACATTAGATTAACTTAATTTTATAAGGCATTTATGATGGAATTAAAGTGAGTTAAAGTATTTCATGTAACATGAATGTGAAATGAACGAATGATAAAATAATATTGATATATGACATAGTGTATAACTGTGTGAATATGTGTGTGTGTGCTCTGTTATGGACTGGCATCCTGTCCCATTGCGAGTGTCCATCCCTTACCAAGAAACGGTTAGAATATTGATGGATACATAACAACGATATGCTTCCTTAATGTCAAAGTTAATATTCTACCCTGTACTAGATAAGCTCTTATGCAAGATGGATGGATTAAAGTGTGATGTATTAAAACATTAAACATAAGTGTTATGGGAAAGGTATACTTTTCTACCATCAAATCTTGTAAAGACTTCAAATAAAATTACATAGCCTTACGCAGGCACAAAAGGGTTTTTTTTGTTTATATATTATCACATTATATCCACACATAATACAAGGACTGGTCCAGCATAGAGGGATACTGGAGCCTGTCTCATCAATCTCAGGATAATTCAGTGGGCAGACACTCTGGATGGGATGCCAGTGGTAGAACTGTAATATTAACTTATATATACCATTTAAATACCACTGTTTTGAATTAAGGCTGCTAAGTGTTTTTACATTTATATTATTAAACAAAATGAATTTCAAATAAATGATGCTTCTCTACCTCCCATATGGGTTTTACAGTCTATTGTTTTTACATGCAAATTTTGTTATGATGCATTGTGGTTATACATACTGTACATGCATATTACTATGCATATTACTCAGCTGAATATATTTTGGAAACAAACCGAATGAATCACGGAATGAATATAAATAAAACATTTGTTTTGCCAGGACTCCCTTGACCTGCCTTAACAATTTCTTCATAATAATTACACCGTTGTCTCGTTAGTTTAGCTCTTACTATTTATGCTATATGTGTCTTCAGAGGCAGTTACAGGCCTGTATGAAGCTCAGTAACTATGTTGAAGGCACACACTGTGCACCATGCTATCTAGAATACCATGCTAGTGGTGAGCTGGATTTTTTCAGCTGCCAGGCAATCTCTCCAATAATTATAATGAGCACATAAAGCACTAAAGCCTTCAGAAATAGGACTCCTAGCTATAGCTTTCCAGTAATGGCACGGATGTGCTGGCAGTCTCTATTACTTCCAGCTAATATCAGGAATGTCTTTTTGGCATTCAGTTCAGGCTATTTTCACGTAACTTACCTTAAATAGTGCCTGAGATGCTGCTGCTGTATTTCTCCATGAATGAGTGCAGTAATCCACTGTACATTTCCTCTCCTTTAAGCCTGAGCTCTCTCTGTGGGTTCTAACCTGCTTGGAGGGCTGTAACCTCGACTGTCCACACATTTGCAGCATGATGTTCCAGCCACCACTGGCTGCTGTTACAGAGGGCAGAGCAAAAGACTCATCTCTGCACTATTAGTATTCACAGTGCCTACATACTTCTGAATAGTACATACTTATCATTATTTGGACTTTTTTGTGTTTGGACACTACAACTAATGTAGTTTTTGTTGTCTCCCCACCATCGTCTTCTGAGATCTTTCTTTCAGATCTTTATTACTGTATAAGTGTTTCTGAATCCAGTCCTCAGAGACCCACAGTCGGTCCATGTTTTTGCTCCCTCCGAGCTCTCTGCCAGCACAGTCCACATTTTNGGTTGCTTCCCACCTGCACCCCTTGATCCCGGGATAGGCTCCGGTCCCCCCCGCGACCCCAGTTGGGATTAAGCAGTTACAGTGATGGATATATGGATGGATTTTTACTTTCTGGATCTGCATTATCTACCTCTGGGAAGAGGACAGACCTGAACTCCCCTCCCTTGCGGAGGATTGGAAAGTTCCTGAAAGCAGCCGCTGGTCTGGTCTGTAGGGGGCGCCGCACCCAGCAGAGGGAATTTTACTCTGATGAACTGTCGTGACGAGCATGTCATCAGCCCGGAAGCTTCCTTGGGGGCAGGGCGACAGCGCCGCCCTGGTGCTATTCTCCCACCATTTGATATTAGGTGAGCATCTCCTCATAGTTACATCGGTCCTGCGTTTGACGTAGCTTTGCCATGGGAGAAATTCTTATAATTAGGTTCTACAGGGTTCCTCAGACAAACATATAAAATCTATCAGGTTAAAGACATTCAAATTTATCCCTGCCCCCCCTCACCTCCCCCTCCCTTTATCCTGCACCACAGCCTGTGGCACCTAGAGACCCCCACATCTAATAAAACAGAAGCTTCCATTAATCCTCCTTCATTTTCATTCCGACTCGGATGGAAAAGGCAGCAGCAGCAGCGGCTCCACATGCATGGAGTAGAGAAGCAGACAAAGTAGGCGGTTTATTTATTTAGCCAATGAAGAAAGCTTTACACCGCAAACATTTTTTGGAGGGGGGCGGTGGAAGACCCTCTGTATGCAAAGGAGTAATTTGGGGGGGGGGGGTCGTCCCCTTGGAGGGGATGGAGAGGTGCCACAAGCGAAAACCACATTAAAGCCTGAGAACAGATGATACACACACCACCAAAGTGAAGTGTAGAATTACGGCTGCTGCAGTGAAATGATCCTTTACAGCCGTGTTTCCCAATCCAGTCCTTGGGATGGGTGGACTGTGGCAGGGAGCTGGGAGGGAGCAAAAACATGGACCGGATGGGGAAACACTACTGTATAACATTAATTGCCCTTATCGTAAATTCTTTGTCCAATATTCATGGCGACACTGACAGGAAAGGGGCTACCTAAAATGATTTAAAAATATAAAAATATTTTATTTGTCTTCAAAAAAGTACATATTTTTAAAAACTAACAATTTAAGTTGAACACATTTTAGCTAATCAATAATATGAGCCTGGACTAAACAAAAAATGTTAGAATTTCCAGTGTTGGGCATTTCTGGTCCAGAAGCTACAAATCTAGGCCAAGATTTTGTTTCTACCAACCAGTTCAGCATAAAGAGTCACAGTCAGACTAGTTGGTAGAAACAAAATCTTGGTCTGGATTTGTAGCTTCTGGACCGGAAATGCCCAACACTGATAATTTCTGGTTAATTTCTATTTCAAGAACATAATCTGATTACGTTGTTGTCCTGCTAAATGATCCTAAAAATACTGAAAATAATTATTTTGAACCGGAAACAAATCATCATCTCAATATCACACAAGAATGTCAGTGGGTTTAAATGCTAATGTTGTCCTTGACGTTGTTCTTACAAGGAAACACCCTCCTTGGTATTTGTATACATTCCCTCCTCACTTACCTTCCACATTTATCTTGTTTCCATGACAGCATCTTAACCCCAGATCTGTACTGCAGTGTGAGTGGCAGCTTATGCCGGATACACCTCCGTGTGAGCAGTCGCGTTAGGTAATCTGTAACCACAAACAAAAAGCTGAGCCGCAGAGCGATGAGACGAAAGGTTTGGAAACCTCATCCAGGCATCTACCCCTAGTGGCCTTCATGGTTACCTTCAGCATGCTTTGCAAAAATATCCTCTCCCATTAACTTACAGTACTATAAGCTTTTGTGTGTGTATTTAAGCTATATAGACAAAAGATTTGGGACACACCTCTTAATCACTGAATTCAGGTGTTTCATTCAGACCCATTGTCACAGGTGTATAAAGCACCAAGGTATGCAGTCAGGTTTACAAACATTTCTGAAAGAATGGGTCATTTTGAAGAGCTTAGTTAATTCAAGCCTAGTACTGTCATAGGAAGCCACCTTTGTAATAAGTCAATTCATGACTTTTTCTTCTGTGCTAGAAATTTCACGGTCAACTGTAAGTGGTATTATTGCTACTGTAAGTGGAAGCATTTAGGAGCAACAAAGACTCAGCCACAAACTGGCAGACCATGTAAAGTAACAGAGCGGGGTTCCTGAGTACTGAGGCGCATAGTGCATAAAAGTCATCAAAGGCTCTGTTTACTCAATAACTGCAGAGTTACAAACTTCCTCTGGCTTTAACCCCAGTTCAAATACTGGAATGGCCTTCAGCGGCATGCAAGCCTCACATCACCAAATGAAATGCTAAGTGTTGGATGGAGTGGTTTAAAGTACACTGCCACTGGACTCTGGAGCAGTGTAAAATACACTGCCACTGGACTCTGGAGCAGTGTAAAGTACACTGCCACTGGACTCTGGAGCAGTGTAAAATACACTGCCACTGGACTCTGGAGCAGTGTAAAGTACACTGCCACTGGACTCTGGAGCAGTGGAACCAAGTTCTGTGGAGTGACGAATCACGCTTCTCTGTCAGGCAGTATGATGGATGAGTCTGGGTTTGGCAGATGCCAGGAGAACGTTTACTGCCTGCCTGCATTGTGCTGTGAAGTTTGGTGGAGGAGGGATAATAGTATGTGGTTGTTTTTCAGGGTTTGGGCTCAGGCCCTTAGTTCCACTGAAGGGAACACTTAATGCTTTAAGAGACATTTTTGACAAATCTATGCTTCCAACTTTGTGGGAACTTTTGGGGAAGGCACTTTTCTGTTCCAGCATGACTGTGCCCCAGTGCACAAAGCAATGTTGATGGTTGTGTGACTTTGGTATGGAAGAACATGATTGGGCCACACAGCCCTGACCTCAACCCCACCAAACACCTGAGGGATGAACTAGAATGGAGATTGTGAGCCAGGCCTTCACATCAAGCACAAGTGCCTGACCTCACAAATGCTCTTCTGGAGCGCACCTCCCACAAGTGTGGCAGCTGTTATGGCTGCAAAGGTAGGACCAACTCCATATTGACGCCTATGGATTTAGAATGGGATGTTTACCTCTCTCTCTCTCTCTCTCTCGCTCTCGTTCTCTGGACCTCTTCTTTCCTAAATCTCCAGTGACAGAAATCTGGAAATTCTGGTTACCGGAGGGGAAAATGTTATCTTCTCACATACACCAGCTTCAGTTTTGCTCCTGTTTTTGCTTCTCTCGTGTGGAGTTGGAGTTTACAGTTCACAGGTGAAGCAAAGGATCAGCCATGAATGAATTTCATGAGATTAGCTGGCATGTGCAAAATGTGTTGGTCTGGCTAAATCATATAAGAAAACCAAAGTAAAACGTCAACTATAAAATACTTACATAACATAAACGCAATGTCATTGAACTCAGGGTTTCACAACTTCTGGTATTTCCTTGAGAGTGACCGTACTTGTTATTTTATTTTATTTTATTAGTATAGACCTCTTTTATGTGAGTATGTTATGTGCAGTGTTTAAATTGTCAGGTATATGAAGCACTCTGTAAATAAATCAGTCCATGCCCAAATGCCACCCCTCAACATAAACCTGAGGAGCGAAGTATGGCCTATTTACCGCGTATTTTTACCATCGGAACGTCGTCATTTTGCGTGGTTTTATGATTTGGTCCACTCCATTTAAGCATAACTATAAACTTTGGACACGTGCTACAGTTTTGTTTTGTTTTCCTCTTAAATAGCTTTCATACGATTTTTTTTATGGCCACGTCACAAGCTTAGGCTTTACAAGAAAAAATATGGTAGCATAAAGATTAATCTTGGCTAAATGGTACACCATTAAACAAAGTGTATGACTTTATGAAATAAGGAGTCTGTATTATTATTATTATTATTATTATTATTATTATTATTATTATTATTATTATTATCTCAGTGACCACCAACTATTCTATATTGTCCTTTCTTTGTTTAGCGCATCGCAATGGCTGTGCATTCCATCTAGGTTAGGCCATAAGAGCTAGTTTATTGAACTTTTTTTTCCCAATAACCAATCTAGTCTGTGATATGAGACATGATTATGTTTTGTCATACGCATATATTACACGGTTAGCAACAAAATAACCTGTTTAACATTTCATTGTTTGCATTATATTTCGCGTTACCTGTTGAGTCAATTCGGAATTGATTGATTCTGTCTATTTAATTTCGTTATGAGTAAGACTGTATGAAATCAGCTAATCATATTCCATATTCCCTATAATGCCCGAAATAACATAAATTAATAATGACTATTATGTCTCTTGTTTTTATTCACGATGCACTTCAGATTTATTTAAATTATTTTATCAGTTCGTATTAAAGCTGCGGACTAACGAGTTCTCAATGAGAGGAATTACCGTGTTACACATCCACTACCTAAACATTTAAAAGTTACATTAAAACGATCGAGTAATTAACACAATATATATGCGAGAGCCTGGCAAAATGTTGAATATGTATTCCGGTTAAATACGCGTGTGGAATTCGGCGTGTTTCCTAGCAACAGAAACCCGACGGGCTCGCGGTGAATAAAGCATGTCTTCATTTTCACTTCTGAAATTGCTACGAAGGGAAAACACCATTTCAGCGATTAACAATCAAGTAGCCCGGACTTCCCAAGCAGGTACCTTAATTGTATATTATCATTCATATAACAATATATATTACAGGTGTAGGTATATATGCATCAACCGGTAAAAATAAAATTGTTCCTTAGTGTTGCTGAACTTCTTGCGTATCCTATCTTATATATGAGACCAGTAATTGCATAGATAAACCTAAATTAACGATATGAAACAAGGTGCATCCCTTGTAAATGAAACCAAAACATTAACTTATATGAATGAAATATTACCATCGGACACATTTGTTTGGTAGAATATTTTTGCCAGTTATGCTTAAATTTTGTAATTTGCGGAAGACGACATGACATCTTCACGATAAACGCAACGTATATAGCGGACATTGAGTAAGCTAACTGTTACCATAGACTAATATGATTTTGTTTTAATTACAACGTATTAATTTGAAAACTACATTATTTCTATTAAGACGCACCCCGTGGCATGGCCGCGCGCACGTTTGATTCGACTGCCCTGGTGTTCAGGTTGCATGAGAGCGCCCCCCAGCTGGTTCGAGAGGTACTTCTGGAGCGCGGTTGGATGGAGTATAATGAGCAAGAGCAGGAAGAGGGGGACTGGAACCTGTACTGGCGGGCTTCAGCGTTCCGCAGTGCAGACTTCACAAATGTTCTGCCCTGGCAGAGACTTAACCACCATCCAAAGACACTGGGAATCACACGCAAAGACCACTTAGCCAGAAACCTCAAGAGGATGAGGGGCACATTTGGCTCGGCACTTTACAATTTCAGCCCAACTGCCTATATCCTTCCAAATAATTACACAGCATTCTTAGCAGAGTACACAAAGAGCCGACTGAGAAATACTGGAAAATCTGGATACTGGATTTGTAAGCCCGTAGATCTGTCAAGGGGAAGAGGAATATTTATATTTGAGGACATAAAAGACTTACTGTATGATTCTCCAGTCATCGTGCAAAGGTATATTAGCAATCCACTGCTAATATCAGGGTACAAGTTTGACCTTCGGATATATGTTTGCGTGAAAAGCTTTCATCCTCTAACCATTTACATCCATCAGGACGGCTTGGTGCGATTTGCGACGGAGAGGTATAATCTCTCCTCTTTGGACAACCCGTTTTCACATCTGACTAATACCAGCATAAACAAATTGGGCCCTTGCTACAGAACTGCAAAGCAGAGGGTGGGACTGGGGTGTAAGTGGACTATGAACAAATTCCGCTGCTTTCTGCACAGCCAGGACATTGATGAGCGTCTCCTCTGGCAAAGGATCAACAATATAGTTACACTTACCTTGCTCACAATAGCCCCATCCGTTCCTTCTTCTCCTAACTGCGTTGAGCTTTTTGGGTTTGACATTCTCATTGATGCCAACTTAAAACCTTGGCTTCTAGAAGTCAACTACAGTCCTGCATTGACCCTGGACTGTGCAGCAGATGTGACTGTAAAAAAGGATGTTCTCAATGACCTCATTGATCTGATGAACTACAAGAAGGTCGATGTCCTTAGACAAAAAGGTTACCAGCCGACCTGCAGTCAGGGACGTGTATCTCCATCTTCTACCGTCACACCAGCATTGTTACCTCCTAAGTCAAAATCTCTACCAAGACAGCAGAGCAAAAGCCCATCCAGTCTACATTCAAACGTCTCCCTGCCATTTGTTCAGCAGAAACAAATCAGTTCACCTGAGAGCAGCAGAAGTGATTCCTCATGCTCCTCTGTTAATTTGGTGCTCATCTCGAAATCAAATGCAGTGACTGCTCCAGGATGTGAAAGAGCACATTTCCCTCTCTTAAAATTACCAGGATCTGTTACCCAGCCTGACTGTACTGAAATAGAGATTGTGATGGAAAACAAGAGAGTATTACTACCAGAGAGAGTCAAGCAGAACTCAAGGCACTCATCCCGGTGTCTTTGTAAGCTACCTGCTATCCATGTTCAAAAGTACCGGCTTCCCACCTTCTCCTGGAGTGCAAAATCTCAAGAAAACGGTAAACCCCCTTCCCGTGTTGGGGGCTTCATACTGACTTTCCCTTTCAATGAGGTCACTCTAAAGGCTTCCAAGGACAATCTCAACGTGAAGATTGCAGTTCAGGAAGTTCACAAGCTACTAACTTGGTTGGCATCACCCTGTAGCCACAAAATGAAGAGACAGGGGGAGGGTGTTCTGGACCGGGGGGTGAAAACGGACAGCTTCCCAGCACTGTTTTGGGGACTGAGGAACCTACCTCTCCTCAGTGACCTGCTGCATCACAAAGTGATCAAAACACACAAGTAATATTTCTAGAAAACTAATTTTTATGTAATGATTAATTAAGATAAGACTCTAGATTTATCTAGTACACATTAAAAGATTTTCCATCCATCCATCCATCACCGTAACTGCTTAATCTCAACCGGGGTTCGTTGTGGTGTAGGAGTCCTGGAGCTTATCCCGGGAACAACGGGCGCAGGCGGGAACCAACCCTGGGCAGGCGCCAACACACCGAAGGGCCATTAAAAGATTTTCACAGTTTTTATCCTCACACTTGTACTAAAATGTCGACTTCATACCAAAAAAGATAATATGAAGAGATCAGATATCAAGAAAGATATAATCTAAAATTATTTCAAGGTGCATTAAAACCTGTTCTGCTGCTGAACTGGTTAAAAAATTAAATATGTTAGTATGTACTGGCACAGTGGTTGCTATAGTAAGGTTCTGAGGCAATTTATAAAGAGAGACACATTGCAGTACAGTGAAGTGTCTATTCCGCTGAATATTGGGAAGACAATGCATTGTGGTGTAGGAGGTTTAAAGAATTCCTAGGAGACAGGAGATCCATTGACCAACGGTATATACAAACTATTTTAAAACAAAGTGAAGATGAATTAAATTAAACGGGAAGGGATGTTGACAACTTTCATAGCATTGAAGCTATGTGTACAAGAGGTTTATTTGAGGGGGGGGGCTTTTATATTATAAGTACTATCAGAGGCAGGTCACCTAGTCAAAAGTTCACCCAATGCTGTGGTGTCGTCCTACTAGCAAGACCAAAAGTGCGACGGTCTCATAAATAATGGAAAGTTCTGAGTAACATAAGTTTCTCAGTGCTGTAAATATAGAAGGAAGAAGGTTGGTGGATTTTTTTGTGCTGTGTAAAAATAGTGAAATATACCATTACATATAAAGTTTAATTCCAACAATACCGAAATATTTGGAGTGGACAAAAAAATGGAAACACCAACTTCAAAGGGACTTTAACCTTGAAGTAACTAAGTAACAATTATAAAAGCTGCAAAGGTGAGTCAAATCAGGCTGGATGCCCCTTATCGATGTGTGTCAGGTATAAAAGAGGCGTGGCGAGCTGAACTTTGATTTGTGAGCATTAAAAATTATCTGGGGCAGTTGACAGAGATCGGAAGATTAATCTGAAGTTAGTGCCTGAAACGCAGGCGCACTGCTCACAAAAACTGTAGTGGAACGGTAGCTGCAAGTCAAAGCTCACCGACAGGGATAGACCTGCAGTGGTTTAGCTGCTAAAGACCACAATCGTATAACCTTAGAAATGACCACAGCACTGGATCAGCACCTTTGGGACCCAGTATTAGCTATAGAAAGAAGTAATATGGTCAATGAGTATGAATCTATTCTTAGATGCTTTGTTGTATCCCCATTTGTGTACCTAGTATTAGAAAATAAGCAAAATTCTCTCTTATTTGCTAATTTAACTTCTTATCCATAACAGTGACTGCATCTGTGGTTTCACTGCAAGCTCTGCCTGTGGAATACTTTGCTTCCTGACGTCCTGTCGTATAGATGGTCTTCACAGTTCCGTCTGGGTATTCCCTCCTCCTGAATTGAGCTGTGTGGATCTCCCGCTGGCCGTCAGCGAACTGTATTGTCTTGTCACCATTCCTGGAGAGGCAGGACACCATTAGGCAGCAAAGGCAGTGGTCTGACCACAGTTCCTGTCGCGACTGATTGGTCTTTACCTTGCGACCGTCACTACAGTTCCATCTGGAAAGACACTCTTCTCTCGACCGTCAGGGTAGATATGCTTGACTGCCTGGTCAGGGAAAATAATCTCTCTTGTACCATCGGGGTGATGTTTCTCTGAAAGAAAAGCATGCAAATTAATTTTAATGATGGAGAAATCCTTCTGAAATCCATACCTTGCTAAAGTATGTTGAGAATTTGTCCGAGATCCAAATTGGAAACCAAACCGCAGCTGCTGCTTCAGCCTCAGCCAGGTGGAGCAAGTTTCTGGATATACAACGATGAGACAGACAAATGAAGGACTAACACCGTAAATCATACCTATCTGCTTGCTTGGGAACTGAAGGACCTCGAGGCCACTTGGATAAGTAGTGTGCGTTGTCTGTGTACTGGAATAATAGTAAACCTATTGTGGAAAAAACAATGGCATTATTTTTTAAATGCACCTATCATTATCAACATAATCCACACTTGTTATGTTCATATTGAGAAACCATTGGTGATTATTCAGACTTAGGTGTATTCCACTTACCACCTTTTCATCTGCTAGGATATGCTTGACATCTCCATTGAAGTAGGTGACAGTGCTGGACCTTCTGTCTGCAGATATCTCCTTCTTGGTTCCATCTCGGAATGCAATTACTCGGCGACCACTAGAATAGAGCCACTCCGTCTATAGACAGACGCAAAGAAAGCCGAAGTCTCGTGCGGAGCTCAAAGCAGGTGTTGTCATTAAACAGGATCACGAAGAGAGGAGATTGCTAAGCCTACCTTTCCATCTCGGAGGCGAGTTTCCTCAAGCACTCTGTCTTGCTTGCTTGCTGAATGTATAAACTCACGTTCAGGCACTGTGTGTTCTCTCCTCAGCTAAAATGACAGCATAAATAAACTGCAAATATGTTTTCATGTTTTATGAAGATAGTATCGTCAAGGTATAGGTTGAGAATATGGTGCATAGTAATTGAGGAACCAGATTTCGTACCAAATTGTCTTAGGTTCACCAATATGGGCTGTGTAAGTGTATAAAGTCCTTTCAGTAAAAGTGCAGGAATACATTTAAATAATGTAAAACTGTGAGCATAATTTTGCATGAAAACATCTTGCTAAGCAGGATCAAACTCGATTTTTGGCAAAATGTCAGTTCTGGTTTACTTGACGTTTTTTGTAAGAAATATATTGTTCTTTGTTTGTTTTTGAAATAAATTCAAATATGCATTTTGTTGACAAAAGTGAGGAAAACAACAGAACTTTAAAACAATACATCAGGCTTTCATACCTGGGACTATATGAATATTAGTTTAAGCTGCTTCATTCAGCGTAATATTGATGCCTGACTAATCCAGACGCAGGTAACCCTTTTACCTGAGGGTGCTGGGACCCTGAGGATGCCGTATCGCTGGTTGACAATGCCAGCTGCTCATTGGATGTCTCATTAAGCTGGGGGTATGCCCCTATTTTTGTCTGGTGTTCTTCATCCTGTGCCCCCAAGAATAAAGAAATAAACTCACTACTAATGTATATCTATATCCTCAGTACAGGCTGTTACTCAAATCTTTTTGCATGCCAATGTTACGACAAGGGAAAAATACCCTGTTGGTGTTGCTATTTGGCATTTCGCAGCTGTCTGACTTTGGAGTTTGGTCGGTGCTTTCTGGAATCAAAGTCATCTTTCCTGTGTTGAGTAAAGCAAAGAATCATACCAGAAATCTACACAGAAGAGACCTGTTTGTTCTCTAGAAGCTGAATCACCCACTAGGTATTTAAATCAAATCGCTTTGTTTTCTTGTTTTTCTCTCGCCTTGTTTCTGTGGCTTGTCTGATCAGCACTGTTATACTTGTAGATGTTTTCAGATCGCTGCGGATGTTTCCATACAAATGACAGTAACCATAGTCAAAGTAGCTCAACAATCTGCAACAAACATCGACATTTTGACTCTTTTGATAACTGTAAAAAAAATAAATAAAATCTATGATGACACTTCACCTGTGAACGGGAATGAGTGGTCCTTACTCCTGTCTGTAAGAAGGTGACCATTTGACTGCGGAGAGGGCACAATACTCAACATTAAAATGACAATATATCCATACCCGCTTGCCCTATGCAGGACTGCAGGGGGTCTGGAGCAACACATGGCAGGGACTCACAGGACGGGTGCCAACCCATCATAGGGCACAGACCCCACTCACAGCCACACCTACAGGCAATCTGGTAACTCCAATTAACCT